GCTAAATGAGTCGGAGGAGACGGCTGAGCCAGAAGTGAATCTAGGCTGGCGGAGTTTTGGGGCTGAATAAATGGTCGTATAGAATTGAGTTATCCAAACGGCAAGCTCGGCTTGTCCGGCAGCCAACAAGAGGCGGAGTTGCGGCCCAGTCATTATAAGAGAAAGACAGAGGAAGGCTAAGTTGTACACGAGAAGAAAAAAGTAGCTGTTCTCATAAACACCCCCACCACCGCTGCTACCAGCACCAGGGAACATGCTTAATAAAATTTTATCGAATTCGATAGGAAGGAGAGGGTTCGAAGTTTGCGGATCAATTAAAGAGGTGACTTTAACATCTGATGAACTCTGTGACTCTATCGCAGAAAACGGCTGATTGACAAGGTTAGAAGCAGAGGAAGACTTGAGAGCAGATATGCGATCCTCTATGTTGATTGTAGGCTCAGCTAACTGGAAACGAAATAGAAGGTAAAACGAGTAAGTTGATAAAATGAGACAGAAATTCGAGGCTAAGCTTCTCAGATTTAGCAGAACTTGGCACGCTCTAAAATATGCTTATTTTAAAGGAGCATGTAATAAACAAAATCAAGAGTGAAAAGTGCATATTTACCTACAAGTATCAGTGAAGATCTAATTTTAAAGTGTAAGGCGTACGTTTTTTTAAATAATGCGAATAGCTGCTTTATGTAAAAACAGTTAATTAATTGATATAAATGTATTCGCCCTATTTTGTTTAAGGTAATAAAGGACTAGGACAATGTTATGAGTATACATTGAATTTCACAGTCTTGTTTTTCCAAAAGGTGTTATCATCCAGGCTGGACTGCAGTTTCGACCTCGCTTGCATTTAGAGTGAAAGTGTTTGATTAAGATAGTCGGAGTTCGATTCCACCAGAAGACGAAGGATGACTCCTCTTGACCATTTGTCAATTAGCTTATTGACGCTGTTTCCGAGGAAATCTTGTTTGATTCCTGTAAAAAATGTGCTAAGCTTACTTCCTTCATCCTTATGATGGACATCATCAGAGCAGGGTATCATCCTTACCATCATATTCAGGCTAAATAGTCAAGAAAATTTACCAGCTTATACTTAAATGCTGTATATATAACCTAGATCAAAGCTATTTGATGAGGCATAAACCGGTTTGCTTAGTTATTTTTCAGCCTCGAAGTATGTGTGTGCTTGTATGTATATATGTGTGTGTTAATTAAGAGTAAGTAATTATCCTTACTATCCTTAACTATCCTTACCATGCTGCCATATAGCAAAATAGTCATCCATTTAGCTAATAGTTTTGGCGTCAGTCTTACCCTTTCCATAAAGCGTTAGTTAGATAGTCTTCGTCTTTGGAAACATACCGAGGATAGTTTAGAAAATTTATTATTCTTAATTACCCAGATCGATTGTAATGTTAAGTTGAAAATGGAGATAGAGCATGAAAATAATTTACCTCTTTTGAGTGCTTTGGTTTTCAGGAAGGAAAGAAGTTAAGCAGGGATGCATATAGAAAGATAAGACACACTAGCTTCATACATAATTTCTTCTCCAACTGCAGTTACAAAACAAAGGTAAGTGTTTTAAAATTTACGACTATATGGAGCATAAGACTAGCCGATAGAAAACATTATGCTAGTGAACTGGATAGGTCTAAATTAACATTACTGTCAGGGCTCGACTCCCGCTGGGAGTGGTGATAAGACCTATGCAAGGTCGAAACTGCAGTCCACTCTGGATGAGAACAATTTTTAGGAAAGCAAGGCTATGTGAAATTCAATGGAAACTTCAACTCTACTCATATCATTATGGAAAAATTATACAACCAGTCATTGATGATCTTAAACGAAATAGGGTAAATACATCTCATATTACTGATTTACTGGTAATCCCGAAACTCTACTTACATACGAAAAATAACATTACTTTAAAAATAATTATCCCCTATGTCTGATTAAAAATAGCATTAGATCAATAACGAATAGTTTTTGAATGATAAACACGTAAAGAGAGGTAAAAAGCCCGAGAGATTATCCCATGTTTTGTCTTTGCTTTCGTGCATTCTGCTTAAATAAATAGGCGAACTAGAAAGGAAGTGGAAAATAAAAACGGGTTTTAGGAAAACTATGACACTTTTTTAAGTATTTCCCACTTTTAGAGAGGAATTTGACCCATTGCTCATCAGGTCACTATAACATTATGTTTTTATGTCGTCCCAGTCGACAAAGGATGGCTGAGCACAAAAGTACATGTAGAGGCTCTTGGGTTAAAAGAACAGAGCTAACAGAGAACACAATTGAAACTAAACATGAGACAAAATGTTGTAACATGACCTTCGATTTTGTAGGGAAATTTGGTTGGAAAGAATTTGAGATGTAGTCTCACCGGAAACAGGAGGATTACAGCATAGTGAAGGCTATTGTATTGTGCGAAGAAGCCCTCGGCACACCGTCCTGCGACCCCGATCAACCTGTGCGAAGCTCTATTTTGCCCTATTTCATAAGTATGGATTCCTGCTCTGATGTCTGTCACAGGAGAGTTGAAGGCTTAGCACAGGTTGATCGGGGCCCCAGGAAGGTGAGCCAAGGACTCTTCGCACAATACAACAGTCTTCCCTATGCGGCAATCCTCTTTCCGTTTCCGGTAAGACCCCAGCTCGGATTCCTTCCAACCAATTTTTTCTTCGAAATGGGAAGTCATGTCAAATTATCACTAAGGAATTCTTCGAAGCCCAGTCTTTCTTAATATGAGATAGAATTGTTTCAAACTTGTCAGCGAAACGTCGATCCGACGCTAGAAATTATCACGACTTTTATAGCAGAGGACTCAGGATGCTTTCAGCAAGATTTGCCTAAATTATAAATTGTGCGATCAGAGTAAGGATTGTCTCATAAAGATAAGTCCTGTGTAGTTTAATATAAAGGAGTTTGGTCCCCGAAAGATCCATTACATCAAATAAAACGCGCCGTACAACACAACTATATGGATCCGAAAAGTGGACAATGAGGGAGTCACGGTGAAATTATGGCAATTGCAAATAAAAGCACACTGAAATTAAGATTGAAGAATATCTGTAACGACAAATAATCTTGTTGGTGTCCAGGATGCAAACTCACTGTAGTCTAAAACCTGATTGAATTGACACAAAAGGTCACGGGGTCATAATGCCTGACCAAGACTAGGTAATCCTAAAAGAGCTTCATTATAACATACTGCAGTAGTTTTCGACGCACAGGACTTCTTGTTAAGCATAGATACTATGACATAATTATAATAAAATTGGCTATACTGATAACAAAAATATTTTTGAAGTTCAAAATGAATTCAAGTTTTGGATGAGCTGCGGTTAAATAGAAGGACTTTTCATAACTTCGCTAGCCTTACAGGTATCATTGCAGAAATGTATACTTGCCTGAATTTGAATTTTCAATTGAGTTTGAAAATAAAGTACGTTATAGCACCATTCCCTTTATTTGACACATGTGCTTGCTTCCTCTAGCAAAATCATATCACAAACAATCTTTAATTTGTGCTAGCGCACAGAGTTTTAATCATATATATTAAGTAGAGTTTAAGTATAACATAAAAAGAAGAAAGGGAATTTAAACTAATTGTGCCGACGCCATGAAAAATTCTGAGAGATTTTGAAAAGGTTGCATCTCCATGATGGAGACAAGGAATGGAAGGTGGGACCTAGTTAATAAAGGATACTGTTTAAACTAGAAATAGGCGATTTAGGTCCATCTAAGTAGCATCTACTTTGAATATCATCCAGGTTTTACCACAGCAACATGAGGACTCACTTTACAAATGAGAAAGAAAAATCAAAAAGAGGCTAGGAAAACGTTTTACTCTAAAAAATACTTTAAGAATGAGGAATAACTGTCTCAAAGAATGAATAGACATAATTGGTACTCTTAGCTCAAGCGCCGATAGGTCAATAAATCGGTTTCATCATATTCGAATATTAGTCTTAGGTTCTACTGGAATTAATAGAGGACAGCAATATTTAGGACGCATGAGTCCTTCATCATTTTATGAGAAGAACGAGTGACAAGAAATCCTGCCCAAATGAGTGAGATGAATAAGTCCCCAGAAGCTAAAATAACTTATATTGCTCAAAATTAAACCTCTCGTGGCCACTAATTTTCGTAACCATATACGATTAAATTTTAACAGGTATTCAGTAACTTTTAAGTGAAAAAAGCTAACATTTATTGATATATTTTACATTATAAACCTATAATAATAGAAATATATAAGATGGAAACCGTAGAATTCCCTTCGGCGACTTACCAAAGAATAAAAGGGAATCAAAATCCATGACGGTAATGACTTTTCCAGACTTACAGATAAGGATTTATAAGTATCGTCTTCGGAAACCTTATGTAATGCAAGCAAAGTCGATGAAGAGGAAGGTACTGAATTATCGAATAAATGAGATTTTCTTTTATTAGAATAGACAGATCGAGTGACGAATTCCATGGCTCCAACCTCCTTTGAACGAAGAGTAGTTTCACTAGAGAATCGCTGTGAAACCAACTGAGGAATTTCTAAAGATGATTTCGGGAAGATAGAGTATAGTTGGATGGATTGTGGCGTCTTAGCAGCATCAAATGTACTAGATTCAGTAGAAGAATGATAGTCAAAAAACATAGGGGCTAATGCAAATGGAGTAAGGCCGAGCAGACGCGCTTGTAGAGGCAAAGATGAGCTGATAAGCAAAAAACAAGTTACGTTTGCCAAAACGCATGCCATTTCAGTTTGATGTGGATGCGGACAAAGCTTTCTAAAGGTTGGAAAGGAGTAAAATCCCCAAAGGCTTGTCATCAGAAGAAATGCAATAAGCAGAACCTAAAAGAGAAAACACAAATCAAATGGTCATAAGGCAAAAAGTTTAAAACTGAAGCAAAATTGAAAGCCAAACTTAAAGAAAATGTAATTACAAGTACATATAGCAAGTGATGTAAGTAGATAATGAGTAAGCAATTGAT